CCGCCTCATTGAATTTGCCCTTCATCTCCTCGAGCTCGGTGCCAATAGACTCGACCTTGGTGACGAGGCGGGCGGGCACGTACGAGTTGTCACTGTCGACTTTCGCGTGCGTGAGCGGGCCAGCCGCCGCGTGGAGCCAAGCGTCGATCTCTTGGACAGCCTTGTCGACCTTTTTCTTGAGGGCCTCGGGCGTCGGCTTAGGTGCATCACTCTTGGGGTCCCTGGGCGCCCTCTGAGGCTTCGACTTCTTGAGTTTGGCCTCGCCGCTGGTCTCACGGATCTGTTCATCCTGGTCAAGCCGTGTGTTCACGTCCTGATTCTTGTACACGGGCACATACACCATCTGCATGCCGCTGTGCTTGCATTCGAATGTCATGTTAGGCTGACTGCACAGCCGCTCGAACGCGGCAGGGTCCTTCACGAATTGCGGCAGCTCGGCGGCGATGCAGACGGGCATCGCGTCGCCGTATTCGCCGTCCTGGGTCTCGCGGCTCTTCGACGTCTTGTTCGTCGTCCACTCCTGCATCTTATTCAAGAGATCTGTGCCATAGAGGCCAGCGCAATCGGCCATGAACTGTGCGCGCTCGTCGCCTTTGACCATCACGAACCCTTCTGGGGCGTCCTCCATCTGGCTGAGGTCGAAGATGCGCTTCTTGAGGCCGTTGCAGTCGGAACAGATGACGCGGGTGACGTTGCCGTCCTTGTCACGGCCCTTGACGGTATGAGGCTTGTCCTGGCATGGTTTCTTGCACTCCACGCAGTTGAGGGCACGGGCATTGGGTTCGGCGGCCATGGGCGGAGCGTCGGTGCGAGAAGATGTGGGGGCAGCCATGCTTGGCAACTGGCGAGCAATGCTGGCGGCAAGTGGGGCAGAGCCTCCGATGCCAGCGCTCCTCTTGGAGCCGCAAACAACTATGGAGAATGGCGGCCGAGCAGGAGGAGAGGGCTCGCAGGCGATGTTCCTATCCCAACCCCAGACTTTTCGGCGAAACATGGAGCGGCTCAGAAAGGAGGGAAACCCTGGGATACACCCCCATGGGGCTATTCGGACGCACCTCTATCGAGGATGGACGCCTCCCCTCGTATATCCCAGGGTTGGGCCCCAATTTTTTTTGGTCCACTCGAAACCCCCACGAAGCCTGGGATAGGGATCGATCGACATATCCCTTGGTAAGGGCGGTGAGGCCAGGGGGAGTTGGAGGCGCAGTTGGAGCAGGAGCCCCTGGACATAGCCCTTGCCGCAACTTACACAAACCTGATGAAGAGCAACAAGAGCCCGTGGTCATAAGGGCCCTTGGGGCCACGAATATACAACTATGCCAATCGCCACTTACACAAACCTCTCCTGGGGTCCCTTCCTCCCTCCCTCCGTCCCTCCCTCCGCCCTCCTCCTCCTCGTCCTCCCCCATCCCCCCTCATCCTCCTCGCCCTCCTCCTCCTCGTCCTCCTCCTCGTCTGCTCCGCCCTCCTCCTCCTCGTCCTCCCCCATCCCCCCTCATCCTCCTCGCCCTCCTCCTCCTCGTCCTCCTCCTCGTCTGCTCCGCCCTCCTCCTCCTCGTCCTCCCCCATCCCCCCTCATCCTCCTCGCCCTCCCCCTCCTCGTCCTCCTCCTCGTCCTCCTCCTCGTCTGGAGGGGGGGGATGCGTCGGGGTCAAGCAACTGAAGGATGAGGAAACTTGGCAGGAATCAGACTGGGATGAGTCGGAGTCAAGCAACTGAAGGATGAAGGATGAAGAGAGGAGGAAGGGGGGGACTTTGCAGCGGGCGACGCTGCGCGCGCGCCCAATCCCGCGGCGCGGCAGGAGCGGCCTCGTGCTAGTTCGTCTCGGCCACGGGCTTGTCCTCGCAGATCTTCTGGAGGTCGCGCTGGGGGGCGGGAAACAGCCCTCCCAGTGCCCAGTCCAACAGCCGCCCCAAGAGGGCCAGGAGGTGGACGGGAGGGCTTCCCATGTTCCAGGGACGCCACAGCAGCATACGAGGCTCCAGAGGGCCCAAGCATGGCCCAAGCAGTGGTCCAGGAGTACCACAAAACGAGTTTGACACGAGTCTCACATCCGAGGCTCCGCCCAACAGTACCCAGTACCCTTAAACTTGTCCGGTGTGAATATACTCCCGCCCTCCCCCCTGTACCACCTCCGCCCCCGCCCTTCTACCACTCCCGCTCCGTCTCCTCTGCTCAACCTCTGCACCTCTGCCGCTGCACAACCCCAGCGGCGGGGCCTCCACCTCGTCCATAACGCTGGCGAGCGCGGGGATGAAGGCTGGGTGCCCAGGGATCAGGACGGGGTCCTACGGCGGGCGCGCCGCGCCCCCACCCCTACCCCCACCCCTCCAATGCGGTCCTTGGCGAAGGTCGAGCTGGAACTCGAGCCCGAGCCAGAGGCCACAGCGGACGGCGTGGAATCTGCAGGCCCAGCCTCGCCTCCTCGGGCGCTGGGGGGAGGTGCGCAGAGGGGCAGCGATCGACAGTCAGTATTCAACCCGCCCTAATCCGAGTAATCTTGGGCAGACCCCTCCCGTCGCCCCGCTCCCCAGTGTTATAGGGAGTGGGGGTGGGGCCTGCTCAGGATGACTCGGGCGAGGGAGGGTCGGAATCTGACTGTCGGTAAGTTTCCTGGTTTGTGTGCACGGCGCAGAGCACATGGGGGAAGGTGATATGCTTGGTTTTGCCGCACGAGGAGGGCTGAGGAGGAGAAGGGGGAGGGGGGTGGGAGGAGGGGAGGAGGAGAAGGAGGAGCACGGGGAGGAGGGGGGCAGCGGCAGGAACATAAGCAGGAGGGCGACGAACATGAGGAGGCTGGAGGTGGGCTCCTCCACCATCGCAGCCTTCATCACAAGGTACCCAAGCACCGACGCGGCTGTCATGGCGGTAACCGCATTCCTCGGCCCACGCGTCGTGCTGGGGAACTGCCTCATGAGGCGCCAGCCACACGGGGTTCGGTCTGGGCGGTGCTGGCACGGGCGTCCTAGGGCTCAGACGACGACGATGTTCGAGATCTCTCTGGTGCCGTTGTTGTTCTGTTGTCTTCCTGGCCCCGTAGTGCCCGTTGTGGCGCATGATCTGCTGCGTGGCTTCCCACGCTGCTTTGAGCTTGGTGCTGCGGCCCGTGATGAACAATTGGCGCCCCTGTCCGCGCTGGCGATCTCTGATCGCCACTTTGCACTTGTGGCTCGTCCATATCTGTGAGATCTGAGCGGACGCAACACTGCCGTTATGCAGGGGGGCACGGATCGTCGCGAGAGGGCCATCTGCGGGCGGTCCGTAGTCGGCCCAGGCGTCTTCCTCCATCGGACAAGCGCCTGCTCGAGCCTCAGCGCCTATCGAACCTCCTCCTCTCCATCCCCCTCGCCGTCGACCCTCCTTCCCCCCTTCTTCCCTCCTCCAGCTTGGGCCCAAGAAATCAAGAGGGGGCTCTAGATTATTGGGCACGGTGGCACGGGAACCTTTCGGGCGATTTTATCCAGGATGCCTCCCCTCCTCCTCCTCCTCATTATCCCCCTCCTCCTCCTGCTCATCCTCCCTCTCTTCCCCCCGCCCCCATCGCGGCAGTTGGGCGGAGCCTCAACAACGCGATCGGCAATTGCCATTTCTGAGGGGGTGGGCATAATCCCAGACGTTCCTGATGTGGATACATGAATATCGAGCTAGTGTTGTTTTTTTCTGCAGAGACTGCGAACTGGTACCTCGCACGGCGCGCTGGAACCCCCTCCAGCGCAGGATTCTGAATAAACTTGCTGATGGAGACTGCAACCCCAGACGCAAGTCAAACAACATAAACCGCGAGCGATGGCATGCCCACAGCTTCGCGGGTGCCGAGCGCCGCAGCGCTGTGGCGTGACGGCCGAGTGGGCATTATTCATCCGTTTCTCCCCACCCCCTGGTCCCCTCCCATCTTTTCACTCCCATTCATCCCTCCTTCACTTCGGCGTCACATCCAGCGAGGCATTTTGAAACCTTCGTCGCACATCTTGCAACGGTGCGAAAGCGCCCCGCATAGAATGCACCCCATACTCGGCTGGCCATTCGCTTTGCGCAAGTGCATGCTCGGAGGTTCGAGCGCGGGATCTACGAGGGATGCGCTCTCGGGGCGGGAAGGGGTGCCGCGGCATCGAGAATCAATGCCATGGCATGAGCCCCCTCGCCCTCAGGGCCCATTCCCTCGGGCCCCCGCCTTCGGACCCCCGAAATGCTATCTTCGTCACTCATCGGCGCCCACTGGCGCTTGCCCGCCCTCCGCGTGCGGCACCCGAAGTACACGCGCACGGCCGCCTTCGTGATCCGATCCTTAGGGTGCTCAGGCCACCGCCGAAGCCGAGCGACTTCGAAAACGATAATCTCGACATCCTCCGAAAAGTGCACGGCGATCTTGATGGGGGGGACGGGCGCCGACTCCTATGCAGATTTCCCCGAGCACCTGCCAGGGCATGGAGGCCTCATGCCCCCTCCCTTACCTGGCTGGGGCTCGGGGAAAGGATGGGGGAGGAAGCTGATAGAAGGAGCAATGGGAGGGGGGAAGGAGAGGGGAAGCTAATGATAATGCGGGGTCCGATCCTGCACGCGGGCGCTGTCGAGGGCGCCGTTGGCAGGCTCCGTGGGCTCGACCCAGGGGCGCGCGTTGCGTGGGCGAAGCCTCGCAGTATTGCGATGCCAAAAACGGTCAGGTCTTGAGAAATGCCTACGAGGGTGGAAACCCCGCCGCATGTTGAGATATCACATTCTCTTTGTTTCGAGGTCTCCCTTCCCCGTCTCCTTTCCACTTCGACCCCCGCCCCTCGCGCCCGCTCCTAGGAGCTATCCCCCTGCTTCCGCCCGCCCCCCCCGAGCCGCGCGCCAGGCCGCGTGAGGCGGCGGAGACGGGCGCCCTGCCACGCGCGTGTCGGACAAAATCTCCGCTGCGAACGCCGGGGGGAGGGGTGGGGAGGGGCGGGGGGGAGGGGGGGGAGAGGAGGGGGAGGAGAAAGGAGGGGGTGTAGCGGGGGGGAGTGGAGGGGCGGTCAGGTAGGGAGAAGGAGAGGAAGGAGAAGGCGGGCGAGCGCATCCACCGCGGTGGAGCGACGCATCACACGGATCGGAATAAAGGCCGAAGCTTGCCCGAATCAAAGACGACCGCATGCGCGTCGATCACGCCTTCAATCGGGCAGGGCGCGCAGGGGAGGTCGGGAAACTCGTAAAGATGCGGGGCATTTCTTGTCGGAGAGAGCAGCCTGGCAACAACGAAAAACCGATTGCTGTCCACGTTCAGAGAATAAATTGCCTGTACGAACCCGACCGCCTGATACATTGAAATGCGGCCCCCGACGCCGCGAAATGAAAAGAAATTACCTACCACCAGCCCTCCCCCGCGCCAATTCATTGATTTGGATGCCATTGCGGAGCTCGGCCTCTGGCCGATGGGGAAGAAATCCAGCAACGTCGGTGCGTCCTGCGGTGCCTTCAGCACGTTGGGAACACAGGGGGCCTGCGTGATGCGTTCCTCTTAGTCGAGTAGCATCCTGCAAATCATAGGCTGGGATTTGTCGCGTAAATGCGGCATGTGCTTGGCAACGCTCTTTACTATTTTCAGCCTGCGCTCGTTGGAAAAACAATTGAGGTTCAATCCAAAACTTGACAAATTCTCTGGCACGTGGTGCTGTAGGTGAGATTTTATCTTGCACACGCGAGCGCCGTGCAAGGTAATCCGCCGCCCCAGCAGTTGGGGCGCGCCAGGCGCTGTGCATACTTGGGGCATGTCCGACGTCCCATAGGAACCTCCAAACGATGCGCGTGGCAACAAATGCTGGCGGACAATCGCC